GCAATACTTTCAACAATAAAGATTTAAATAAATAAATAAAAATAAATCCTATATAATACAGATGTAATATGCAAATGGTCATTACTGTGTAAGGACTGCATCAACAGGACGGTGGGTCAGCTATAAGTGGGCAGCGGAGAGGTACAGGAGGGGGCAGGACAGCAGGTGGAGAGCTACTGGAGGGCAGCAGCAAGCTCCTGGCACATGGGTTCGTGCACAGGGTTACTAGTAAATAAATATAATGCAAATGTTCTTTTGACTCTATGTGTTATGATTCTTGCTTTGATGCATAGCTAAAAGCTTTAAAAGGAATATTTTAAGTGGTCGTAATGCTTCTTATTTTGCTCTTTGTATCTATCTGTGTTCTCTGGGCATGAGCCTGTATTATCAGTGTAATCATAAAATTGTGTGAAAGGATATAATCTCTCAAGAGAAAAGGGGAAAAAAAAGAATTTGCCCTATCAAATGTTAATAGTGCTTCTGAAAAGAAACAGGGCTGGAATGTCTCCTAATTCCTGAACAAAACTAGCATCCTAATGTTCTAAAATTCTAGGGTATTGTTAAAAGGAAATGAAAAATTAGATCATGATGATTTCAGCAAATCAAAGAAAAATTGAATTTTGTGGCCCACAGTGAGCATCTCATCCTTGTTATTACATATAACATTGAGTTTCAGGGAGTTTACATAATTTTCCCAGTATAATTCCCAATATTAATGTCCTTCCTTCTTCCTAACATACTTTTTATCTCTGTATTTCATTTTAAAATGCTATTAATTTTTAAAAATATGTTTTTATTGATTTCATAGAGGAAGGGAGAGGGAGATAGACACAGAAACATCAATGATGAGAGAGAACCATTCATCAGTGCCTCCTGCACACCCCCTACTGGGGATCAAGCCTGCAACCTTGGCATGAACCTGGGATCCTTCACTCTGCAGGCTGACACTCTATCCACTGAGCCAAACCAGCTAGGACTTAAAATGCTATTTCAATGAAAAATCAGTTTGAAAACAACTTTTGTAAGTTAAAATGGTGAACTGAGAGAAAATTTGGCCTGTGCACAGATTTAAAAAGTATCTACATGATTCAGATCTTAAGAATGTAAATGTCTTCTAAGGTAATTCTGAATGCAGAAAGCAATTATAAATTGCTCTCTTTAATTATTTTATTAAATATATTTCAGCCAAAATTGGCATTTAATAGAAATGTTTATTCAGTTGAACTTTCAGCTCTTCAGCCCAACCACCATGTTTCATGTTTATGGAAAAGTTTTGGACATCCCTGAGTTCATGACTCATTTAGAAGATAAGTGGCCATGCAAAAGGTTTATACCATAGGGATTCATATTGTTATTGATGGGCATATATATTCTATTCTGCAGTTAGGTGAATATTGTTTCCATTATGGCCAATACATTGTGGAGACTACTCTGTGTTCTTAAAGAAGCCACAACAGGATGTGTTATTGGTATTTGCAGTAATATAATTAGTGAATGTGTATACTGATTACCTCTTCAGCAACTTCCTTCTGAAAGCTTCTATCCATGCAAAGTGGGCATATGCCTTGAAGACAGAATAATATATACAAGTGGTTCAGCCAGATGCCTTTTCATTTTGTAATTTATAAATTTAAAAACGATTTGAGTGGCTCTAAAAGTTTGACTTCCAGTTTCTACTTTCATCTGCAGTATATTATTATGTTTTAATACATTTTATTGATTTCAGAGAGGAAGGGAGAGGGAGAGAGATAAAAACATCAATAAGAGAGAATCATAGATTGGCTGCCTCCTGCCTCCCTGGGGATCGAGCAGCAACCTGGACATGTGCCCTGACCAGGAATAGAACCATAACCTTCTGGTTCATAGGTTGACATTCAACCACTGGACCACACCAGCTGGTTAATTATTTTAATTAGGAAACTAGTGACATTAAATGTAATTATTAAAGGTCAATTACCATATCCTATTCTTTTAATTGTAAATATCAACTATAGGAGCTTTTTAAGAGGGACATGTATTTCATTTATATTGAATATATTTAAGTTTCATCTCTGAGATAGCAGATTACCTGTGGTTTTTATTTCTTACAGCCCACACCTGAGAATTAGTTATATTTTTTCATACCTGAATACTGTAGTCACTATGGTAACTAGCTGCCCCTTCCAGTAATTCGAAGTTCTACCTGTGACCATTTAATCTTAAACAACGTTCATGTTTATAAATAATCAATGTAATTAAATCTTGCTCTCCTATTAATCTCTGGCTAATCTGGTTTTATCTAGTTTCATTTATGAAATTAGTAGATTGTTTGCTCTGTCTTCAGTAATGATACAACATGTAGTAACAGAAACAGAGGCCTATTGACCATCAGAGCTTCAAAATGAAAAGAGCCCTAGCTGATTTAGCTCAGTGGGTAGAGTGCCTGCAGACTGGATTCCGGTTCTGGGTTCAATTCCAGTCAAGGGCGCATGCCTCCTTTGTTGTTTTGATCCCCAGTAGGGGACATGCAGGAGGCAGCCAATCAATTATTCTCTCTCATTATTGATATTTCTATATCTCTCTCTCCCTTCTCTCTGAAATCAATAAAAATATGAAAATAATAAAAGTAAAAGAGTGCTTTCCTCCTAGAACCAGATTTGCTATTGGGGAGTTAAGGAGTTAGGTGGAGAGGCATCTGATCTAATAAATCAATTACATGCTTCTACATCCCATATGCCAGATTCAGTGATTTTTATATTTATTTTTGACAGATCACTAATCTTTAAAAATAGATATTTATATGTGTATTTATTGTCTATAGTTTTATTTATACCCATATTTTTCATGTGTATACCATATGTGTATGTGTATGTGTGTCTATATCTGCTCCCCTTCTGAAATGTTATTTATTTATTCACTTTGTTTACCCTAAGGATAAACTGTAATCTTGCTGGTAACTTTATATTACCCATTATTACTTAGACACTATGCTATTATATTTTGTCTACTTTAGTTGATAGAAATATATCAATAATATAAATTTCAAAAATAGATATATATTTTTCTTGTTTAATTATATTGTCATGTTTCTCTTTGTCTGTAATAGCCAACAAATTTTGTTATTTATTATTATATGTACCATAATATCATATGCAATAATGTTCTTGTTCATTGCACCATGCCTGAATGTGTTTTAAATTTTTTAAAAAAATATAATTGGCAGAGTTTTAATAAAGTTCACATAGTTTTCAAATAACAGAAAAAAAGTGAGAGACAGACACACAGAAAGACAGAGAGAGAAAATGTGAAATTATATTTTTATAATAAAATATGTAAGTAAAAAACAAGAAAGCAAATTAATATGTACAAAAGAAAATAATCTCATTTTAGTTCCTTTATTAGCAGGGTATGTTTTAAAATTATTATTATTATTTTAAATATATTTTATTGATTTCAGAGAGGAAGGGGGAGGAATAGAGAGATAGAATCATCAATGATGAGAGAGAATCGTTGGTGGCCTCTTGCATGCCACCAACAAGGAACCAAATCCACAACTCAGTATGTGCCCTTGGCTGGAATCGAACCTGGGACCCTTCAGTCAGCAGGCTGACTGAAGAAAACACTTGAAACAACTGTTATTTTAAGTCCATTTCCCAGGATAATATTGGGGAAACAAAATGGTAAAGTATGTTAACCCTAGGGTTCTTTGTTCCTTTTGAATCATAAATAAAAAATTGTTAAGATCCCCAATCATAAAATTGACCATATCACTGACAGCATACATTTCAGAACAAATCCTCACTTCTCTAAACACTCCCTAAACCAAAACTCTTCTAAATCCTCCTTCCTGAGGATTGCAGCAAGCTAACAAAGCTCACCTACTGCAGCAAGCTAACAAATCTCCCTTTCACTGTAGGTGATTTTTTGCTGATAGACATAGATAGATATTACGCTTTGTGGTAGGAACTCTGTATATATTGTTTTTTATAAATCCCAAAACCCCAATAGGCATGTGCTATTATTAGTTGTAGTTATCAAATAAGTACTAGGTTTGGAGAATCGAAACAACTCCCTACTGGCAAAGCTAAGACAAATCCAGACAGTCTGTCTCTTGCATGAGCTATAAATCACACAGCTCACCACATCACTCTTCTATCACCTCTTCGCTATCAGAACAGTATAATGATACGTGTTTTATACCTATTTCACTTTTAAATGCACACATTATACCTGAAGGGGATAGAATGCTTTATAAGTCTTCCCGTGAATGAATAAAATATTCTACGTTTTACGTAAAATCACAGTATATGAAATCATAGTTTCATTCCAGACTTCTATCTTAAACTTCATTTCTCAGTTTCTGATATTGCCCTGGCTTTTCTTTTTGTTCAGGGAATATGGACATGTGTTGTGCTTCTGAACTTAGATTCTCACCCCAACTTTCTCTGTTTGCTTCCCAGTGTCTGAGTTCTTGGGCGGGGGGAGGGAAGGAGGAACCTTTTCCATACACCTAGTCTCTGGAATCATGGCCTGCTTTGCTAATTTAATCCCAAGATGCCAAAACCATCTTCATGGCTGAGTATTTATTTTTTGTTCTTAAACTTGGGTGAGAACAACTTTTTGAATAGGCGGTGATGTGTGATGTACACATGCTTTCATCTCCATTTAGTGTCTTCTTGGTGTCTTGTTGCTTGAAGACAGTCTTTGCCTATCTTCCCAGTCCATCTCATTTCCTTTGTCCAATATAATCCATGCCTCCTACAACGTGCCTGCTCCCTCGCATTGTGACATTGACATGCTTAGGTATAGAGTGACTTGGGGGGAAAATGTTTCTGCTCTACAGTTTTAACAAGAAAATAACGCCTGTCTTTCCCCCCAGCTTCTCTCCTTACGATCATGCCAATGCTATAAACTGCTCCTGCATTTAGGTACCTGCACTGTAGCATTATTTCTTTATTATAAATTCCATCAGTTGCCTGTGTTGCATACTGGTTGCTTTATTCCTAGGTCTTTTTTCTGTAGCTCTTCCAATGTGTCTTTTTCGCTTTTCAAATCTGCAGACTCCCCAGGATATTTTTTCTCCTACAGTCAAATTTGTCTGTTAGCTCCCAAATGCATGCCTATGCATAGATGCATAAACATCTTCAAAGCGTTCTCAAGTCCCATTTATCTGTAAAGGCTCCTTTTAACCACCACCTGTTTCTAGTGATCTTACCTTCTGAGTGTCTAAAACACCATTATCTAAATCCTATGTGGAAGGGTCCTTTGATATTTTACATTTATGTGCTTTACCTGAACTAGATTTGAAAGCCAGCACACAAAACACATTGTGAAGAACCCCTGAAAATAACTTCTTAAGTTAGAAAAAAAGAAAAGAAAAACACTTAAAACTACTCACTGATAGAAATAACTCAGTGGGTTATTTGTGAATAGGTGGGTTTCATGTTTCCTAATATTGGTTCTCCCAGAAGAAGACCTGAGACAAATAGAGTGCAAATGGATGACTTGGGAAGTGATTTGTGAGCACTAGTGGGAGCACAGAGAAATGAAGCAGGGAACAGAAGAAAGCAATAAACATTGTAAGCAAGATACCTCTGTGAGCAAAGGAAACTCAATTCTGCTGAAGAATTCTGGAAAACAATTCCACACATAGGCCCAACACTTATCAAAATGAGGGACGGGATGAGAATTCTTTAGTAGCTCATGTCTGAGTTAGCTGACAAGGGTTCCCACTGGGTGTTAATTTCCAGCACTTCAAGCCTGCTCTCCTCTTCTAGTGTGCTTGGGCAGAGAGAACTGTGGAGGACATAAAAGGTACCAAGGGGCAAGTTGCGAGGCTAGCAGCTGGAATTTGGGGATATGAAAGGATACTAATGGCCACCGAAGGTGAAGAAATCTGGCAAGTGTCTCTATTAGGTTGCATGGAATTGGTATAGCTATGGGAAAGTATGTCTGGAATGTGACTGCTATGATAAAACAATATTACTAAACATTTTGAAGTACCCTGCTTGATAAAGAACTTTCTTAACAGGTAAAGGATTTTAAGTGGGAAGGATGGCAAAACAGGTGTAAAGTTGGAAATGACTATCACTGTGTCTCCATTGCTTCGCTTAAGATGGTGCTCTCTACTAGGGCAATCCAAAGTATGGTCTGTAAAGTGTCACCAAATAAAAGGAACTTGTGTTATCATTTAAATCAACTAGACCAATAGCATACTACTTAGGTCAGCTGGCACAGACTTTTTAGTCCCAATAGCTAGGTACAAAGAGTTTGTGGACCATCTGTTTTTAGGCATATAAACTCATGATATCATTTTTGTTCACTATGTAATTGAATACCTTTAAAAAGATGCCAAATACTACTCTTTAGTTAGTGTTCAACAAGCTGCCCTTCAGTTGTCTTCAATAGAGAAAAATTGGATGGGCCAATTAAGTTAAACATTGCATTTGATTTATTGGTGATATGCTTGCTCTAAATTAATAAATCATCCCTCTGATTCATACATCAATACTGTGAGTTTTATTAATAGATCAGATTCCCAGGAGACTGGTTATCGGCGGGTGAGCTGATAAATTTAACTTCTGGACATTCAAAGTTTATTACCAGATCCTGAAATATGATTACCAGCTTGTGAAACAAGGTTTGGGAGGCCAGTGTGCCTCCATATGGGATGGTTCTTCCTCATTCCTCTGCAACAAGCATGGACCTTAACAAGCATGAATCTGATAGTGGCAGATTCATTCCTTTTTGTTCCTCTAGACTCAGAGTCTAGCTTATTACAGGGGTCTGTAGATGTTTACTAATCATGGTTATATTGGTTAAAGTACTACTGAAAAGTTGTGCAAGCCTGTTGATTATCAAATAAGGAAATGGATACTCATTTAGCTGACATTAATGGACCAAGGTAACTTACAGAAAGTATGAGACCCCAAGAGTATTAAACCCACTCCAATACTTGATTTCCTTTATCAAATTAAATCCTTCAGAAAAAGAAATAGGAACCTACTTAATATTCAGTTTCTAATTTTTGCATAATCCTATATAATAAAATCCTAATATGCAAATCAACCAAGTAGAGGAACAACTCGTCACTATAATGTGCACTGACCACCAGGGGGCAGATGCTCAACACAGGAGCTGCCCCCTCATGGTCAGGGCACTCCCCCAGGGGTAGCACCACTCATCTAGAAGCTCTAAGCTGGGCTCACAGCTGGCGAGTGCAACAGCAGTAAAAGAAGCCTCTGCCACCTTCATGAAAGTGCTAAGGACACCCAGGGTATGTCCCACTGCAGGCTTAGGTTAACTCCCTGCTGGCAATTGGATATCCCCCAAGAGGTCGCAGACTGTGATAGGGCACAGGCCAGGCTTCCCCCACCCACTCCCCCAGTGCATGAATGTTGTGCACCAGACCTTTAGTGAGTAATGACATAGCTGTGTGAACAAATATAAAATTAATATCACTAAATCTTTAAACCATTTAGTTTCATTCTAAATAAAACCAAATGTATTTAATTCTCTAAGTGATAATCTCTAAATACATAATAATCTGACCACTCAGTGTATATCCTATATAATAAAAGGCTAATATGCAAATTGTCCCCTTGACCAGTAGTTCGACCAGCAAGCAGGCCAGCCAACCACCCATGTCCCTTCCCTCTGGCCAAGCTGGCCAGACCCCACCCACGCACAAATTCGTGCACTGGGCCTCTAATATATATATAGAGAGATCATAATAATCTGGCCACTCAGTATATGTGTGACTTAGACACTGGGAGAAATATTATCATAACTGATCCCATGACTAAAATATTAAGAAGAAAACTCACAAATATGCATAGACATTTGGGCTTATTCTTACTTCTTTTCTACCCTGAAATCACATAAAGAGTTGACCAATTTAAGATGCCCATTTTAATGAAAGAACATATAGCAAACTTTCCTGCAGAATTCTAAAATAGTGCCTCTTTTATTAGGAATAAGTTCTGTATATAAAGATGTATCAATAGTAACATTTTATAAGTACTAAATTATTATTTCACTGGAATTCTTTTAAGTATGGAAGAAATAAGTCTACTGTGCACCATACATTCATTACGTGTAGTTTTTCTAAATATATTTGGAAATCCAGGATTTGAGTTCATGAGCTTGATCAGCCAGAAGATAAGACTTGTTCTGACAGCATGAAAATACACTGTGTTGAGAGTATGAAAAGGTAATTTAGAGTTCTAGATAAAGCATTAGGTCTTTGTTTCCTAATTTGTAAACTAAGGAGCTGAGGAAAATGGGTATTTTATAATCCTTCACAGATCTATTGACGTAGATGTGACTATCAAGGAAGAGGATGTGAAGTAAATAAATAACCTCCTAGAGTTCTGTATCAGTTCTACGATGCAAAGCTAATGGGATACATGCTAATGGATGAACACTAATACAAAGATGTCAGAATGGGGAAACTAAGTGTGTGTAACATCTGTCCTCAATAATGGGAATCAGCCTGTAAAACCATGCTCAACACGGTACCAGTGTACCAGTGTGTGGTTATATATTTGAAGAACAATTCCAAACGAAGGCATGGACTCAGAGAGAACAGAGGAAAGAATGATTTTTATCACCGCAAGGAACCAGCTAATACCACTGAGTGGGAAAAGTTAAACTCACTATCTATATCTAATTTTCCTGTGCTATGCTACTTAGCACTATTTGCCTCTCTTTGCTGTTACTTTTTTGATGTCTGACTTGATTTATGTACCTACATTCAACTTTTTATTTTTTTATTTTTTTACCAAATTAAAAGTGTTTGAGGAAAGGGAGAGTGTTTTACTTATCTTCATTATAACACCAAAAACTGCAGTGTTTTTCCACATGGCTGATGCCAACAAAATCTATTTAAGTTAACTATTAGGAGCCTCCAAAAGCCACTTTGGGGCCATTAATATTACTAATTAAGTAATATTAAAAAAAAAGTTGACGAAAGAAAACACATAAAACCCTGTGAGGCAGTTTGCACATTTCTTGAATTATACGATCTCCCCATTGCACTGGGTTATAAAAATGCTTTATAAGGTGACACTGCACCTTCTAGGAACATGACAACTAATGTTCACATTGCTCCGTATGGCTGGACCTAGAGAAGTTTAACAAGTGAAGTGACCTTGAGAATAAAGACCATGAAATATGAACACAAATATAAAATAAACAGACAAAAAAAAATTGGAAATACACGTGGGTCCATGTAGTGAATGAATTAATCATTTGGATCTTAACAGCCTTTTACCAGTGTTTCTGCCTCCTTAGGATTCCCATTTTTTTTAAAGTTTCAGTCTAGATTTTTTTAAAAGGCAAAGCAAGTCATTTTCCTAGCTTTGGAAGCTTGCCTTAGGGTGGCTAATTTCTTATTTGTTTGTTTGTTCAATTTGAAAGAGAGAGAGAGAGAGAGAGAGAGAGAGAGAGAGAGAGAGAGAGAGAGAAACTGAGAGAGACTGAGAGGCAGAGAGAGCGAAACATTGATCAATTGCCCCCTGCACTCCTCCTGCACTGGCTCTGACAGGGATGGCACCCGAATCCTGGGTATGTGCCCTGACTAGAAATCGAATCCACCATCCTTGGGTACACAGGATGATGCTCCAATCAACTGAGCCACACCAACCAGGGCAAGGCTGGCTAATATTGTACATTCCAAAAGAAATATATTCTCTGACAAATGACATGTCGATCTGATAAAAGAAATAGGTATAACTGTGATTCACTCACGCCAGACAGCTCTGTGTTGGCTAATGTCCTCGGCAGTATGAGAGAATGGCTCAGCACGGGAGACTGGAGTATCTGCCTTCTGAGCTCTAACCCTGGAGCCCGCAACTCTGGTTTCTGCTCACACAGTTGCAGTCCCCTCTGCCCTCCTTCTCCCAAAGCCCAAGGTGAGTAGCTGCACCACGTTTCGTGCACTGGCCCTTTAAGAGGGTGAGTGCTTTCTCATATGTCTCTTCCTGGCAGACAGCAACTCTGCTTCTTTTCACAGCCAGATGTTGCATGGGC